TAGAGCAATTTCAACATTTTAGGGTATCATCTTGTAGAGCTCAATGAGCTGAGCTCAATGGTATTTTTTCTCCTCGATTACTTCAATTTGAAGCGATTTATAAAGAAAAGACGAAGAAGACGCGAATCAGCGGTATTATCGCAAATTTTTGAGTTCTTACGGCGAGTACTGTAGAACTTACAGAACGAGGAAAGCCCGGCGTTAGCCGGGCGGTTCGACTGGTATCGAAACAAAAGGAAACTGTGATACTTTATTGAGTCACAAACCTTGCTGGGTAGCGGTCGTAGTCTAATTGCAAGGAATGAAGCAAATTTCCATATCGTTATGGAGAAATGTCTTCGATTGGTTCCTACACTGCATCTACCCGTCTTATTGAATGAGTTTACCAAAGAGTGAACGTTTGATCGTGAAGAGAAAAGCCGTTAAGGTTTTAATGGTAAGCGGCTCTTGTCCTCTAAGGCCATTTATCAGCTCTTATCAGTTGATATCATTCCTGTCACAGTGTACCTACCACCACGTCACATCCTCCATCACCTAATGAAATGCCAATGTTCCACTGTTGACACGAAGGGGATCACAAACCTAATGGTTCTAGTAGTCTTCTAGGCTCTTTGTCAGCCCTTGCCGCTTGTTATCAATCCTTGTCACCAAATACCTTCTGTCCCTTCACATCCCACACCACTTACTGAACCTAAATACCGAGTACCTACGACCCCGTCATATCATACATAACTTATGAAAATGCCGAGGTCCCACTGTTATCACGATAAGTGTAATCCAACCAAATTTCAACGCTCTAGGTCCGCTGGAACAGGTGTTATGAGCTTACGGTTGAAAATTCCTACCGCACACGTCCCGCCTCCTGTGGGCGTAGTCATATTCTGTTGCCTGCCACGAGTGTTCGCATCCTACCGCCTGCACGCCTACCAAATTTAAACGCTCTGGGTCCACTGAAGCAGGAGTTATTAATTTGCGGTCGAAAATTTCCATCGTGTCAGCCCCGTCCTTGTATGCGGAGTCTCGTTCTGCTACCTGCCATGAGTGTTTGCATCCTGCCGCCTGCACTCCTACCAAATTTAAACGCTCTAGGTCCAGAAGTAATGTATTTTCGGTCAAACACACACCGACACGCGCGCACACACATGCACACACATACACACATGAATATACACACCAACACACCGAGAAACCAACAGACACACGTTGTGAAATGCGTACATATAGTAGAAAGTGTAAGAGGGCTAATATAACTTCATCATCAACGCAATATCGGTGTGAGTCTTTTGTAGTCTTAGTGCTTATTTTTTCTTCTAAGTTGTTGGTTTTGGTAGTTGGTTCGCCCGGCTAATGCAGACTTCCTACCTTTTTTGACAAAGTTGTAGCAAGCGGCTACCTCTCCACTCTTTCTTCGGATAATAGTTTCTTGTACACGAAGTTTGACACAGGACCAACAGAACAATGCAAATGGTATTCATTGTATGTCGGGGCTTACGCCTTTCATTGGAACTGTCGATCTTCTGCTCTTTTCCTCAAAAATAAATGCCAGGTAAAGTCTTGGGCGGTACATACAAATGTTTCGAGCGTCAGAACATAATTATCAGATATCGTCATCAACGGACCCTTCTCATTACGGAAATACCATTAGTTGAGAATTCACTGTCAGTTAATTCATTAGTTCAAAATTAAGAATTTTTGCTGGCGGATGGTAATTCTTGTTGCAAATGATATCGAGCGAAGATGATCCTTCATTGAATCACGAACCATGATGGGTAGTCGTAATCTAATAGCAAGAAATGAACAGAATCTTCATCTGCTCATCGTAGTACCGCCAATGAGTCCCTATCACTGCATTTATTTCTCACTTTTACCACCCTACTCTAGCATCCCGTATTATCGAATGAAACGTACTGAACGGTCAAAGCTAGATCGTGAATACCAAGGACGTTAGGGTTTTGATCGGTAGGTGGCCTCTCTTAGGTCCCTTATCTTCTCTTATCAGTTATTATCGCTTCTTGTCACCGAGTATTTACGACCCCGCCATATACTGCATCACTTATTAAAACGCCGAAGTTCCACCGTTACAACGAAAACTAAAGTCCTACCAACGCTCTAGGTCCAATGGAACAGGAGTTATTGATTCGCAGTCAAAAATTTCTATCGCGCACGCCCCGCTCCCTAAGGGCGAATCTGGTCCTGCTACCGGCTATTAGTGATAATATCCTGTCGCCTGTACTCCTACCAAATTTGAACGTTCTAGGTCCATGGGAACAGGAGTTATGAATTTCCGGTCAAACACACACACCGACAAACCAACAGTCCCACCTAGCGTGTTATGCAGTAGGATTGTAAAAACAACTTCTGCAAACATTTTCGTAGTCCGCAGTATGATAAATTTTACTAATATTGCCAGTTCCATGCTATATGGCTCTACCAAGCAATTGTAAACAAGCAATAAGAAACCAGTTAAGCAGCTTGTTTAGTTAGAATAATTTCCGTAAATTATTTTCAAATGAAACGAGTTAGGTAAGAGCACAAAAATGTGACTGCAAATCGCTAGGGATCGGAACTCAGCTATGCCTATCCATGAATTGCGCTCGAATTTTAATTATAAATTATTAAGTTGCCCAAAATTCACCTTTTTGTGATTACTGCTTGCGCGCTCTTTCGGACCGGGCGTGGTGTAACCGGAAATAAAGGACGCTGGTTGTCCATCCTCGTCCGACGCTTTGTAGAGAGCCAGATGTCCTAGGGTGGCAGTGAATTTTCGCGTCATTTTATGATCGCTGGTCGATTCTTCACCGATAGAGTCAACTCCTCCAGCTGTAATAGCCTATATTATTCAATAGATTCCTTGAGTACATAGTCTTGTTTTGATAGGAGAGAGTGTAGCGGATATTGGTGCCGAGCCTGCACTGTAGAGTATCTGAGATCTAATCCATCGACGCTTAATACTTTCGTTTTTCTCTGACCACAATATCTTCTATTGAGAGATATTCGCTAAAACGAAGACCCAGACTTAGACTTTGGCAGTCATTGCTTACACTGGAGACTTTAATTTCGAGACAAACGCATCGCTTGGATCTCATCATTAAGGCATCGCATAGTGATCGGATTTTCGGAATAGGCTCCCACGGAGTGCCATAGTAAAAGAAAGGGACCTTGAGGTGGACTCTCATACTAATTACTTATTGCTCGTGGTAGGCGGCATGACTGATTTATTTGTTTCGGCTAATTTTCCAAATGACTTTACATCAGCTTCGGGACTATCTGATGATTTAAATTTCAATTCGTTTTCACTGAAGCATCAACGTCAGCCGTCAGCTGACCAACGTAGGTGTAGGCGCGCGCTACACCTACGTTGGTCAGCTGAGACTAATTTAGGCTGTGACTTTTATTTCTTGGTCACCGTTGGATCTCCCGACTTGACCAGTTCTCAAGCTAAAACCTGATCTATTGTCATTTAGTGTGCACGAAATTAGAATGAGGCTCAACAGACATTCGCATTCCATCTAGGTTCGCTGCTGCGCTTTAAAAAGATGAAATTTGCGAGCTGGTGCTCAATGATTTGAGGCCATCCGCCAAAACTGTAGTGTACTACACACCCAATTTCATGAGGACCATTGACCTAGCCTATCCCACCTACCTACCCACCTACACAATATTCTCATGATGTTTAAAAAGCGAAAGTGAACTTGACTAGAGTCACACGCCATTTACATAATTAAAGCATTCAGGGGTTTCTATCACTGGGGAACCTACATTTTTTCTTCACCGTTTCTAGAGTTTCGGGATCAAGTTGTGTCACCGTGCTGAACCGCCTCCTAAATTGAACAGACTTCAAAAGCCAACACACGAAAAAAGTAGTTCGAGCGGTAACTGAAACATGACGGTCGTATGACATCTACTTACCCCGAATCCATGATCCGTTTCTTGATGTTCTGAAATAAAAAATTTAGAAAGAATTCTGAAGCACGACTATTAGTAACAAGGTTGAATCTACAAATTTTAGAGCAGCAATGACAGGCAGAGTTCTAGCTAGTTTTAAGATAGGTTGGGTCCTTCATGCACATTATAATTCAAAGGGTGCGGTATCATTTCCCCGAACACTGCGTCCGCTTGCCATACCCCCGCGAATTGCAGAAAAGCGTTGGAAGATTTGAGCGCGCAACCTGAGGCTTAGGGAGTCCTACGATTATTTAAGTTGCTGGACAATTTCTTTAATCCCAATACGGTATTTCGTCGACAGTAGAGAAGGAGTCATTCCGTCAACAATCAGCCCGATAGACATAAAATTCAAATAGAATCAGAAAGAAACAGCCAAAACCAATCAAGAAAGTAAGGCACTCAACAAAAAATATGATGTCCTATCAATTGGCCGAAAGATGAGTTGAGCGCGGTAATCGCAGTTTGAAGCCGCGAGACAACTAAAAAGGATTCCCCGCAAAACGAAAGTGGGAGATCGGGTAGAAGTTCCGCAACTCTAATTTAGATGTTCTATGGTAGAACAATGCTGGTCCATGGAGTGCGCCGTCTTGTTTCCACCAATTGATTACTTTTTCCGTTCTATCGCGAGTGTTTATTAACGGGATTGAGGAGAAAAGAACCCATTAGAACGATCTTGAAGAGAATTCCTTAATACTGCAGATAGAACAAGAGGACACTTGATATTAGTGAAAGCTCTATGTACCGTAAATGACGAGGAAGACCAGTGCTCTTGAATGTTACGCGCTAGGTCGCATTCAGAATCTAAAAATTGAATGGCGAGAAGAAAACAAAAGTAGAGATGGACATGAAATATAACATAACAATTAAGAGCAAAAATTTCAGTTTGGAAGTTTAGTCCCAGATCAGCGGTGGAGTAATCGTAGTGGAGTAATCGGTCATCGATAGTTGACCGGTTGAGTGAAAATCACGTTCAATTGCTTATTACTTCCGTTTTCAATCGAGAAGGCAACGTTATGACTGGATAATGTGTTAGTTGATAAGGGGAACAGAGGGGGGGGGGGCACAAATTTTTCTTTTGAACACGCTTGTAACGAGGATAAGACATAGGACGAGATAAATATCAGGCACTGTAGCTAATGGTTTATGAAGCAGGAAGGTAAGGTAATATGTAGATGGAGAGGGAAGACCAATCTAGGCTGGAAACCAATCAATGACAGGATTTCCACTAAAGGATGAAAGATAAAGTTTTAGGGCTTCAATCAATCCCGTCTGATGGATGCGCCTACGCATTCGACTTCCATCCAGAATCGTAGTGGCGTATTGAATGAGTATGAAGCCTTTACAATGACTTGCCGATGTACAGCCTTTATCCTCCCACACGAGTCTGATACCAATTAACCGACAAATGACAGGATTCCCTCTACGCTTTGGAATCATGGAATGATAAATTTGCAAAAATTCACTCTCACAGAAAACTGTAGCAGATGAAGAGGTGTTGTGATGAAAGATGGGCAGAGTGCTTTGTCTTGAACAGACACATCAAGATACATTATAAATTAATATTCAGAGCTGGAGTTAGGAGTACACTAGCTTATTGGCAAGAGTCAAAATAGCATTTTACCACCGTCGGCACCACATGGTGGTTATTGTTATGTGGAAGCTCGAATGATTTGATAGACTACCATATCAGCATATGACCCCCTACCTGTACAGCACTTCTGTTCACTGCGTTACCAACAAAAAGGAGCAAAGAATTATTTGTGAGCATAGCATACGCATCCTTTTCGTTTTCCCGAGGCATTCAATATGGATAATTGTCTCTCATATTCAGCCGTGGACTTCGTGATTCAAATTCGGAAAAAGTAACCTGCAGTTATGTGTAAAGTGGGATGACACTTTATTACAAACATGGTCCAAGGATCGAATCTCGATCATTATCCTCCTAGGCCAGCCAGCCGGGCCTTCCATTTCTCTGGGGTCGTTTAGTTGGTACCAGACTCGTTCAGGAGGATAAAATCGTTGGCTTGAACATCAGTTGTCTTCCGTAAATCGTTTCAGAGGTCGCCTAAGCATCGAAATGGCTTGTACAACCCTGAAGCTTCGAAATGGCTTGTATAACCCTTTCCCTGTACAAGCCAGAAGCCAAATGCGGGGAAGCATCTCACCATCAAAAGTTGGGCTGATTGACGCTCGAAAGTTTTATCTTTTTGAGTTTTAGTTAGTTAGTTTAAATTTAGTTTTATCTTTCGCTTATCTTTTTGGCTACAGCGAAAAGTTGAATTTCGTTCTCTAGTGTCTGTAACATATTTGAACCAAACTTTCTGTTGATTTTTTAGCGAAAGAATATAAACACGTGGAAAACACTAATGGCCCTATCAGAAAAGAGCCTTGCTTTAGATATCCTGGGATAGTAAAAAACAATAGTTGCCCATGCAAGAACGTTCTAAGACCAAACAATTTTACCTTTTGGGGTTTCGAAGCCAGAGGTATGAACTGTTAATTTGTCTTCTAATCTTTTTCGTAAAAGCCCTCATTAGATCAAAACGGTTATACGCCGTCCCGTATTTGTTCCAAGTCCTATAATGCAAAACTTGGAGTTCCTAAGTCTGGACACAAAACCAATTCCATTTAACAGGGCAGTCTTGGAGCTCGGGTATTTTTTGTTAGAGTCGTCTTCCAATTCCATCTTCCGTGTTTTGTTTTTTAATGCATTCTAACGAAATATCCAACCTCATCAAGATCACGATTATGAGAATACATGAAAATACTCACCAGTGTTTCCGGCGATAAAGTATTGGGGCTCATTGTGTTAGGGCTCAAGTTGTCCTGGGACAAGGTATTCAATGGAAGCTCGGCCATCTCAGCTCGTCACTTCAGCCAGCCACGGCTGTTTAGTCGACTGACCCAACCAGAACTCTCTTGCATTTCATTCATTAATCTTTTATTTCACCTGTGTTACAGTACAGCCAGCCTCAACGTACATATTTGAGTAAGCGATTAGATAGTGATCAGCTCTAGCTGTTGACTGGAACTAAGACGGAACGAATTAGCGGCTGCAGTATACAGGAGCTTTTGTTGACAATAAGAGGCAAAACATTTCTGAATCTTACTGTTACAGGATTCACAAATTTATCATGGTCGAGTAGGCGGGAATATAAAAGCCATTTGAAAACCCGCAAGCTAGATCTCTTCTTATGGTATATAGGGATGTGATATACAGCTACAGCGACAGGTAGACAACCTTAGAGCACATGCTGATGACGTAGTGTTCCTGTCGGCATTTTGTAAGGATCGAGAATATTTTTGAACTAGTTTATTTACCGCACATCCGCAAAACTTCGCATACCATAAGTTCAACATTTAGTCGTACGTTTTGGTTGATTATTAGAAATAACTCAGTGCTTATGCGCCTTCAACAAAATCATGTTCTCGTATAAGCTTATTCACTAAACAGTCGCCGTTCTTCCTGTAGAGTCAATGCCGGTTTAGAAGTAATTTACATCGAAAGCAATTTTTAGCCTTTCAGTCAGGGCCATAGTCGCTTCCGAGGGCACAATGGGATTCTACCAACGCTTTCGCATATTTTTAAGTGCTGATGCAACTCATCTTCAATTTCACAAGTATAATAAAATCGGAACGGAAAATATCAGCCCCCTTTTTTTCAGAAAATTATGTACGGTTGCTAGAAATTTGAACTGATCAGTTTGAACCTGTGTAAACAACTAATATTTGGTGATCCGCCTGTACTGCCCTCGCTTGAGACAGCGACCTCTCAGTTAGCCTACATATTACTTATTGTACACTAGTGCGCGAACCAGTTCCTATTGATCGGCTATTTACTGCACCCCTTTCCACTTTCCAATGCGCGTACTGCCCATTTCCGCCCGGTAACACTTTCCGTATCTAAACCAGTTCACGCTGTTCATTGCTCTGAAATTGGCAGCGCTAACAATAATAGGTAGCACGATCATCAGACCGGTTTTCGATTGAGGATCATCCCGTGTTGGGAATGATGCCGAAGAGCAATCACTCATTAGCACATAAAATAACGGCTCAAAGCAAAATCATAAAGCTTTTAGGTGTCGCGTGTGCCTTCGTAATAGCCCGGAAGCCAAAAAATGTTTGGAATTCATTCTGGTCAAACGGCATTCGGATCTCAGCTTAGTTTAGGTGTAGCCTATAGATATTCAACAATGTCCTGCAAAATACAACAGGTAGACCACCTTAGATGTCTAAAAAAAGAGAGCTGATCCGCCTTCTCAAACGTTATTTGAAGTCTTTTGCAGCGATGGGCTCCGAATGTCCTAAGCCCTAATTTGACGCCGGTGGCAATTGGAAACCACACTGATCAAGGAACAGGGCAAGCTTGTTAACTACGAGTTGAAGACATTCATTTTTCCTATTCGTTTTAGGATTTTTCGCGTTGATCCAAAAGTCTTACGCGCTGAGGTCGTGAGCTGCCGCATCAAGATCCTGATTGGTACCTCAAACTCTACATCTCTGTGGCGTTGACACAATGAGGGAGGGGGAGGGGGGTGGGAGATAGTGCAGAAACGGTCGTACAGGCGGTTTAGGACCAATCTCTGCATTAGATTCGTGGGGACTTCAACCACCTGGACCGTATCATCGAAACCACACGCAAAGCGTCGCTCACGTCGGAACTGGCGGAGCTCGATTCAAAGGGCAGGCAGAAATGCACCTTCTCCGAATTTTCGGTTTCTAGCTTGTGTAGTTTTCTCCTGGAAGGTTTGCCAGAGCGCTAGTCTATAAGTGGACGACTATTAGAGATAGCCACTTTCCTAGCAGTCTCCACGGATTCTAATTGTTCTTGATCACCCATGAGACCGTTTTCGCCATCCTAGCCATATTGGCCATGATGGCCAGCAGGGTTTTGTGTATGCACCGACCTGGAATGGATTGAAATATTCTTGCTGGTAGGTTTTCTGTGCCATCAGTCCGTGGACAGAAGTAGACAGGTAGAATCAAGTAGAATCAAGAACAAGTGGAATCATTGTCATCATCAAGAACAAGTAGAATTCGTGGGACATGGAAAGTGGGTACCACGGAGAAACTAGTGCTTTGGCGAATTACCCTGGTGGAAATTAGACGAGCTGAAAGCTGAAAATTCAGAAAAGGTGCCTTTTTGCTCGCCCTTCGGGTCGGACTCCGTCAGTTCAGACGTGAGAATGGCTTCCCGTAAGTGTTGTCTCGACGATACGGTTCGGGTGGTTGAAGTTCCTCCTACAAATCTAAGACAGAGACTGGTTCAAAACATTCTTTACGACAGTTTATGCATTACTCCTCATTGTGTCATCTGTCCCAGGGGGCGACGGGCTGACTGCATGGCGTCCGGTGTGATCTACTTGACCACATTGCAAGCTCTGCGGAGAGAAATGCATAGGCAAAACCGAGGGACCCTTAATATGCACGGTAAGACCTCTGGATGGCCCAAAAAACTGAGGCTCAAAACGCTCCTAGGAGACCATAGGAAATCATAGGAACCATAAGAAGCACCGTCACAGAGATTTGCGCGAAAAATCTCAAAATGAATGATAAAGATGAATGTCTTGCCGTAACTAACGAGCTCGCCCCGGTCCTTGACCTGTGAGGTTTTCAATTGCCACCGGCGTCAAGCCAGTTGTCAGGACACTCGGTGCCCACCCACTGCAAAAACCATGTGAAAACAAGGGCCAACGGTCTTTTTTCGAACATCTAAGGTGGTGGTCATTTGTTGTGTTTTGCAAGATTTTTTTAGATAGCAATAGGGTACATCTGAACTAAGACGAGTCTAAGCGTCTTTTGATCAAAGAAAAAGAGAAGCAATGATACTAGTTGCTTAACAGTTACTAGAAACATCAACTGGTGATTCGTTTCGCCACTTTACTCAGACGAATCACCAGGTGGAGTTGACTCCCGTGGCTCGTCAGTGAGTAAGAGTCAACTCCATCCTAGAAAAACTAACCACATAATTACATAAACAGTAAAAAGATAAAGGTCAAACTACCAACAAATAAACAATATAACAAACAATGTAAGTAGTGAACTAAAACAAGATATCTCAAATGGGGCCTAAAAATATATTAGGTTTGCCTTCCAGCCTCGTGTGATGCTCAGATATATTGGAGCATGCTATCATAGGGCCACCCAATGTGAAGTAGAACTAGAACTATTGCCCACTATTACTAGTATACGTATCAGATTAATCTGAATAGTAATAATAACATGAATGTTATTGTAAACAAGTAAAATAACTTAATATTATATAATTAGTATGCTATTATTGGGTTTCCACCATTTCTTTAACAAACTTATATATGCCTTCATAGTTATAATCGAAAGAATACTTATATACAATGAACTTGTTTTTATGTACACTTTTCACTACATTAGCTGAAATGAACTCCTTAGTATATCCTTTAGTTATCAAGATTTTAACTAAATTTTTAATGTTAGAAATTATATGCAGGAATCTGTTAACTTTAAATTCAAAATCATCCGTTTTATTATATAACTGTGTGTTAATTCTATTATTCTCAATAGTTAAGGTCAGATCCAAATAATTACTGTAACTATTAGTAATGTGTGTTTTTTTGAGAACTAAAGTATCTTTATACACTTTCTTCAGACATATTTCTATACTTTTTTCTTGTTGATTGTGTATTATTAACAAATCGTCCATATATCTAAAAGGAATGAACATAATATCTTCTTCCTTCTTTATGTTACTTGCATAATTGAATTCCATATTAGACAAGGTGAGATCTGCTAATATTGGACTAAAATTACCACCTTGAGGAAGATGAATCCCAAATATTTTTGCGTTCCGGGCTTTGACGAAGGCGACTTGCCGAAACGTTAGCCGAATAAAAATTATAAATCTTGGCCGAAGCTTCAGAGAAGAACACCTAAGAGAGTACTACATACCATGCCATAATTAAATGAGAGTCGAACATGTTTGCTTATAAGGTTTTTCCTATCCAGCCCCCATTCCGGTGAATGATTCACCCTTAAAAGTGCAGGGCCCCCTTTTAACTCGGATCTTTTTGCCCAAATCCCAGATATCGCAAAGTTAATTCGACCTATTTAGGTAATACCAAATTTCGGGACAGACGGACAGACATACAGGAACGAATCCCTCAATTTCATCAGGTTGATGATGTTTCCACATATACTTTAGAACGATTTCGGGCTCTAAGCACGCCTCCGTACAGAGCTGTGAGTTTTTGGTCTTAGTCCCGCCCACCTCTGCTAGCTCCGTCCACTCCGGCCGAGTCACAAACGTTTGCGGAAGCTGCCACCCCTTGTGAAGAGGGTCCACTCACCACGGGTTGATCTCTTTCATTTCATTTCTTGACCCTTCCCTCACCTCTGCTCATTTTTCTTACGGCGTCTAGGCTGTTATGAAACCAAATTAGGAAGTTTTGCCCATGGCACCGTCCACTTCTGTGCACATCCCGCCCCCAGTGAAGGGAGCCTCGGTAAGATTACATGTGCACATGTGCTCTGTTGATCTTGCCCTATGTCCAACCTAGCCCTTACTGACCCAGGTGATTTATAAGATAAAAAAAAGGATAAAGTTTTTGGCGTTAATCAATCCCGTCTGAGGGATGCGCCCCCGCACTCGACTTCCATTCAGAATCGTAGTGGCGTAATGAGTGCGTATGTGGCCTATACAATGACTTGCGGTGGCCAGCCGATGTTCAAGTCAGTGCTTTCATCCTCCCAGACGAGTCTGGTACCAATTCACCGACCCCGGAGGGATGGAAGGCTTGGTTGGCCTGGGCGGGCATGATTTATAAGATAGTAACGAATTTCGTGACGAATAGAGAGACAGGCGCGAGCGCGTTATGCATGCTGAG